CCCCAAAACCCCAAAACCCCAAAACCCCAAGTGATAAAATTATAGAAACAAGTTGAAATATTATTATGTACAAAATCGAATTATAATAGTTTAATTTAAGCGAAGTAAAAGCAGTAATGATGAATGACTAGAACCTGTCATTTGAGCATGAAGAACCCCAGCAGAACTAGATCCAAGTAATGTCTCGAAATCCCAGTGATTTCTCAGATCTAATGAGCTCCTTTAAGTCAGAGGATCAGCCCTCCTTCATTTAGAACTAGCATAGAAAGTTTACCATTGGCGAGCTGCTAGATAAGAGTAAGTCAAAAAACATATATTTCATCGATCAATCACTTCTTCAATTACACATTCTAATTGTTTGCTTAAGGGAGTTCGAAGTTTAAAGAGTTTGAGAAATTAATAGACCCCATGAGAATACAGCTTGAAGAAGACTTTAAGAAGGCTAGCAGCCGGATAAATGACCTCAAAGTTAATGGTATGAATACTCTTATTTGTAATATAAATTGCTTTGTGTAGATAAAATATGGGTGAGGTTTGATGAAAACGATGAGATATTCTAATTATGTGAGCCAATTGATTCTAGATTTATTGACACAGTTAGTGAAGAATGCAATGCCTGTCTGAAGCCTAGCAGTAAGCTTAAGAATTGGTAAGTGGGGGTAATAGGATTATTAAGTCTTAGAATGTTAATCTAAGCCAAATGGGAAATATGATGAGTATTAATAAATTCTTTTAATAGTGATTTCTGTGGATCATTGAATTGCCCAAATTGCATATTTAAGACCAGACCGTTCCCCATTAATAATCCATAGAGGAATAAGAGAGGCTAAATATGCATTGTTTGCAACAAGAAGTTTCTCTACAGAGATGTATCATTATTTTATTTAATTCTTAATCCTAGGCAATGCATGAATTTGCCATAAAACTAGACATGAAAGAAGGAGTGACTTAAACTTAGCAAGAGGAGCTCTTTCAAGAAGAGGAGAAATATGATAAACTCATGAAAGACCTGTCAGACCTCTAAGAGTTGAAGCAGACCAAGAAAACAGAGTACAAGCTAGCCTAGTAGGACTGCATCTATGAAGAAGAAAGAATAAACATCGAAATAGATAAAATCAGAAAAGAAAAAGATTATTACTTCTCCAAGGCATAGCAGTATTAAGACGATTATGAAGGCAAGAAGCAAAAACTAGAGAAGTTGCATGAGGATATCAAGAAATAGTAAGTACCCCAAGAGGTTTAAATATATGTTGATTATAGTGAGAAGGTATTAGTTGAGAAAGTAAAAAAGCAAGATGAAATAGAAAACGAAGTAAACTTTTGTCAGTCTCGATATGATGAAATTATCCGACTTCAAAAACGATCTACAGTAATAATACCAAGATGTTATTTCTATAGGTATTCTCTAAGAACAGAAGAGAACTCTCGCCTTAGACAAGTCTAAGAAGCAAATCTAGAAATGGAGATGATAGAAGCAACTTTGGAGATCAAAGTATAAGGATGAATATCAATGGATCTTTGATGGGTGATTAGAAAAGTGAGAATGCAATTAATGAAGACAATAAGAGCAATAATGAGGGGAATAATAACAATAATCAAAATAATATGATTTGGGAATTTGAGGAAGTGCCAGCTAGTAAGACTCGGGAGACTAGTCCTGTTGGAAGGTAAAGCTAAAAGTTCTGGAATATGCTTACAAAGAAAAAGAAGAAGAATACTTAGAGATAGTTATCAACCTAGTATCAAATGCAAACCGATGTGAACTATGATTTGATCACAAGAACTGATAGTATGAAAAGAATGACTATTTAAGCACTTGAAACAGATAAAGTTGATGCTAATGAGTCTCCAGATAAAAAGAAGGAAAAGTAGCTCAATAGAATCCAAAGGAAGATGTAGAACAGACGAAGTAGGAAAATGGATTAGCAGGTAAACTCCTGCTAGAGTTGTGAACAAACCTGCATCATATTTTGAGTTAAGAGTAAATATCTCTCAAGAACAAATAATAATAAAATGAGAGTTAAAAGGATTAAAAGCTAAAAGCTTCTTATTTCTGTATGTATAATGATATATCGAATATAATAATGACTTAATCATAACAATAATTGTGATTACAAAACTTCAGAGAAAGCATTAGTTTTAACCATATGGGGTTTTGGGGTTTTGGGG